ATAATAGTTTTTTTTTTTTAAAAAAAAAAATCTGAAAATTTCATACTCCCAACTCACACGGCATAATTAAATTAGTAATTTGTGACCTCATATTTGCTCCTGAAACTCAGACGCAATCTACTGGAGATGACGTGGCACGTAAATTTTGGTAAAAAGTGTGGTGAGGCAGGTAAAAAGCAAAATTGTGACGGTTTTGGAATTTTAACAGCAGGCATCCACATTACTGTTACTATTTTTACTAGTTCAATTGAGCTCATCTGTCTAACAACTTGTTTACTCGGTCTGATGTCAGCTAACAACAAATTATTTAACCCCAACAAATCCATATATTGCATATGTAATGAACATGAAATTTGGTAGTCATCTAATTAAGCTTAGTGTAGTGATAACCACAAACCCACATTTGTAAATAACATTAATTTTCTCATTTTTAAATGAAATCTCATTCCATTAAGTTTGTAATTACTCAAACTCAGATCGAGTTTTTATCGAGCTAACATGAGTGAGTCAATTATACATCGAACTTGGGTTTGGTATGTTATCAAAATTAACAACAAGTCAAACCTAAAATTTAACGAGATAAGTTCGAGCTTTTAACGAGTTGAGCTAAATTAAAATTTTAAAGATTACATGAATGCCACTTGCTTTAAAACACGGACACGTCAACAGTATTGCTCATTTTAACGAAAATTGTATTACGATTTCCCTTCAAAAGAGTTTATTTTAGTTGAAATTTGATAATTACATGGTTCATTTTCCCGACAATTTATTATCATAGTTATTTTCGTTGAAATATCTAATTTTCACTGAAATTATTATTTCCACTCATATCTCAACTGTTTGTAAATATATCGCTGAATCGTTAAAATTCAACTAAAATTCCAACTTAAAACTCATATTCCGTTGGAATCTATTAAAAAGTTCAAACAAAAATAGTCACTACAAAAAAATGATGAAATTCCAACGGAAATATATTTCAAATAATTATTCCAACGGCAATTCCAACGGATATTTCAATACAATTATTTCCGTTGGAATTTTTCAATGGATTCCAACGGAAATTCCAACGAAAATATTCCGTTGGAATGGGTTTTCCATTGGAATTTCCGTTGGATTTTGACGATTCCAACGGTGGATTTTCCAACGGGGATGGAAAAAAATTTGCATATTCCAACGGAAATTCCTACGGTAAAAAGCCGTTGGAATTATAGCCGTTGGAATCATCAAATTCCATCTAAAATTCCAATGAAAAACATATTCCAACGGAATATTTCCGTTGGAATTTCTGTTGGAACTATTCCAACGGAAGCTATTCCATTGGAATATCCGTTGGAATTTCCATTGGAATATATTACCATAGGATTTTCCGTTGGAATATAACATTTATTTTGTAGTGTGTGACATTGGAACATCAGTTGGAACTATTGTCGAAATTCTAATGCAATATATTTCATTCATGAATTTTCATTGGAATTTCATTATTTTCTTATTGTGTCAATTCCAAGTCTTAACAAAACTTAGCTTGAATTCAATTTCTTTATCAAACAAACCAAATCGATATTTTTAAGTCATAACGAACTGAATCGAGTCCAACTCATAAGCGACACTTTTCATTAATAGTTTTAGCATAGAGGTATATCCACTTGTAATATGCATAAAAGATGCGAGCAAAAATATTATATTGAACATTGAAGGTTCGCCTCATAATGTCTCTTAATGTTACATGAATGATTAGAATAAATTAGTCCGTGTATCGCCTTCAATATTCTTTAATACCTTTAAAAATTTATGATAAATTTGGTACAATCATTATTTCTATTTTATTTTTTAATTAGGTTATACGGTTTAGCTATGGAGCCATCGGATGACTCGGCATATGAAGCTATCCATAGTTATTTACAAATGATGTATTGACACGTATCCTATAATAAATTCACAGTGGACACATGTCAATACATATAGTTATAAATGACTCCATAAAGGAGCTGATAGGGATTATGTACCTATCCGGCCTGATTAAGCTAAGGCCCATAACATCAAGTCGGGTGAACCGAGTTTGAGGGTCTTGGCCCATCGACCCATTGACCCATTGACCCATCGACCCATAGGGTCTCGACCTATAAGACCCACATGATCGACCCTCGTAAGGGTCTCGACCCATCCGATTGAGCTAAGAATCATAACGTCAAGCTGGACGAACCGAGACTTAGGGTCTCGACCCATCGACCCATAGGGTCTCGACCCATAAGACTCATAAGGTCGACACTTACAAAGGGTCTCGACGCATCGACCTATGCAGGGCCTCGACCCCTTGGCCTAACGGCCAACACACGGGGCGCCACTCACAAGAAGTCGACCCATAAGGTATCGAACCGGGAGGGTTCGACCCGTAGTAACGGCAACTACCACGCAGTCCGTACTATTAGACACTATATATACGATAAATTCTGGAGTAGAAGGTAAGACTTCATTCAATATCCTACTACAACATTTATTACGAATAATTCTCTCTAAATCCGAGATCCTAACTTGGGCGTCGGAGGGCTTGCGCCGGAGAAATTCCGGCGCGCTTTCAGGTACCGGAGAACACTCAAGCTCGGACCGGACCGAATCAAGTGAACCAATGTCGTAACCGGGAAGAACCTTCCGCAAGACCGAAGCTGCCGATCTCGGACCATATCAGCTTTCAACATCAAGAAAATCATGAACATGATTGGGAAACAAATCATGACAACCTAACAGATCAGTTCGAAATGATGGAACCGATTTTGGCATGGCTTTGTAAGCAAATAAAACATGCAAAACTTTCAGCTCGTCGGCCCGTAATATGAAAAGGCTTTTGATACCACATGTTAGAGTTTAATCTTATGCGAAAATCATCGTTATAATCCAAGAACGTTCATATACGAGAATTATAACTAAATAGTGATCGTGTAAAGTAAATCTATAAAATTCAAAATTACAATAAAACGTTATGTCCAAAGTAAACACGACTTGAATCACGAGCACGTCCTTAATCACGGACAAAGTCAGTTTTATGATTTTCCTTCCTCATCTGGGACCATAAAAAATAATGTTTATATCGTTTAACCCTAGTATTATTAAAATTTATACTCAATCGGCTCATATTAATTACGTAGTTTCGTAGTTTCGAACTCTACTTTATTTATATCATTTAATTGAATTCATTTATTAATTGAATGTCTAATATAATTGCATATAATATTTTATGCATAATTAAATTAAAATAAAAGATTAAATTATTTTCTAACCGTAAGAGTATAATGTTTGGTAAACCAAATAAGCTAGCTTATAGCTTATTTGATTAGCTTATAAGCTTCTTGTATTTAAATAGGCCCCGTTTGGTAGGACGAGCTTATTTAAAAAGCTCGAACTTATTTGATAAGCTTGTTTAGGTAGCTTTTCAAATAAGCTAGTTGAATTTTTTATTCCAACTAGCTTATCAGCTAATTTTACCAAACACTTTTATCATATAAGCTAGCTTTTCAACTATAAGTCATAAGCTATAAGCTATAAGCTCAAAAATTACATATAAGTTATAAGCGAACTTATCAACTAGTTTTACAAACATAGTCTAAGATGAACAGATGAGCGCTTAATAATTAATAGTCCTATCACATGCACTGTTTACATTAAATTCTGTGCCATATAATGATTTGTTGATTGGTAAAATCCAATGATTTAAAAAAAAAAGTGAACCGCTAAACACCGTCTCCTTTTCGA